CAGCTGCGCTAAATCAGACATGCCAGTTTCCCCTTCTTCGCTGTCAGTCACTTTCCGTGCAGCGCGGCTCCTCAGAAATAATGCCGGCTTTTGCGAAAGCTTGAACAACAGAGCCAGCAGACACTTTAGTCCAAGCATCTGCAATCCATCCGCAAACGGTGGCGTAATCTGCCCGGTGCTGCCTTCCACTTATCCTGAAACTGTGGTCTCCGTCGGTCATCCATCGCTCCCACGCCGCTCGCAGCCTTACTTTGAACGGCCGCTTCACACCGATGTCGAGCGGTTGAAGCTCCTTTGTCAGACCCCCGGGATAACGGCGAGCACAGCGTTTATTTTTTTTCCCCATGTTTTTCACATCAGCTGTGAGATGGGCACGCATGGAGTTACATATTAACAGTGATGGTGATGAGTGGAAAAAAAACACCTGGTCTCCTTACATTCAGCCACTCTTTCATCATCTCCTCAATGGGGTGGTCTCAAAAGTCGCAGTTACAACACACATAGGGCGCACCGCACCATAGGGCGCACCGCACATTTTGAGGGGAAAAAAAGACGTTTAAGTGCGCCTTATAGTCGTGAAAATACGGTAAATAGGAGACAATTCCCAACGCAATCAATACTTTACAGCTAATAAAAAATAGAGAAAGACTTGTGACTTTAAGAAATATGAAAAATCACCAACAGACGTAACTGCCAACAGACTTAAAGCATCTAGAAAGACAAAGTGCAGAAACAGCAGAGAGATAACGACACATTGAGAGGTTATAAAGTCTAACAGCTGCTGGGAGGGAGGATCTGTGATAACGCTCTTCATGCACTTAGGACACAGCAGAAACGTCATCATCCGTGATAGCAGATCTAACATGGCTGCTGTGTGGTGTTCTCATATCGGCAGGTAGATGATGAACACCTGGATGGAGCAGAGGAAGGGGATGAACGGCTACTCAGCGCCTCCATGAGGACGCTGCTCTCTGCCATGGAGTAAACGGGGTCAGGTCTGTGGATCTAATGATGATCAGGGTTGGAGAGGAGAAGCCTTGAACACGAGGCGAGCGCTGGGCAAGACGATGACTAACACCAGCCTTACCTTGTTATTAGTAATAACCCAACACTATGACATAACAGCCAGAGGAAATGGGAGAAAGAAAACAACTTTAATGCAAAGCTTCAGTTTAAAAGTGCAATCAAAACCCGATCAGAATTTCCCTCAGGGTAAAAATAATCCATACACTGCAAAAAAGCTCAATCTAAGTCATTTTTTCTGGAATTAAGCAGATAGGTGAGACACTTTGCCATTGAATAAGACATTATATATTCAAAATAAGAAAAAAACTACAGCAGTCTCTTATTTCAAGTGCATAATATCTAATTATCTGGCTTTATGGGTAAAACATGTCTTATTTTCCTGCTAAAATTAAGGCTAAATATTCTGATTTTGAGGAATTTTTATTGATTTTCAGAACCTTTGCAGTTCACACCAGTTAGAGTTCAGGTTTCTATGGTTTGCAGCAGGTTAAATAGCCACAAAAAGCCCAAAGTGAAGCTCTGAGTGGAAGAGCTGCTTCTGATGCCTGTGACAGACGTGAAGGAGGAGGCTGGATCCCAGGAAGTCCAGCAAACCGATGCCCTGAACTCCACCTTTACTCCACCGCATCTACACCGTGTTCACAAAGAGGCCGACCCCTCTTTCACTGTCTGATCATAACTTATCCAAATCTGACAGCCATCGCCACAGACCTGCCGAGCAGCCAGATACTGCGCTCAGGTAAAGCTAGCACTACTACAAACTAGTTTTACTCCAGTAAAAGTCAAATGTGGGTCCCTTTTTTTTTTTTTTTTTTTTTTTACATGCTGCGTGTAGCTCGTCCCCTCCACCTGCAGGAAACGTCAGCCCATATTTATATTACCTGCTGACAGAAACTGCAGACGCATAAGAAGCAACACTCATGCTTCAATGTCATCAGCTGTTACAGCTGGAAATGCTTCATCTGAAGAGTAAAAACACTCGATTAAAATAGCCGAATTTTAAACTCACCGCCCTGCAAAAACCTGCAACATTTGGCATCATAGAGGCTTTAGTCCTGTTTTTCTACCACGCATGGAAACCTGGCTGGTTACTATAAACAGTAACGAGGCAATGAAGGCAGAGAGCACAGGTTAGAAATCAGGGAACTATCTGACAGCTGCTGGAAAACTGGGACTGCATTTTCTGCTGATTTCAGCAAGTAATGAAGACTATTCTCTAATTAAAGAAAGTGACTAAGGTGCATAATGTCTACGTCTTTCTATTTAAGGCAAAAACACTCAATCCAAATGCCTATAATGTTATTTCCATCCATTTCCTGACATGCTTTATCCCAGCTGGGGTGGTGAGGGCTGCTGCATATCTCCACCTGTCTACAGGTGAGAGTTAACCTAACAGTCAGGGTTTTGGACTGTGGAAGGAAGCTGGAGTACCCGGAGAGAACCCACGCATGCTCAGGGAGAACATGCAGACTCCATGCAGAAAGATACCAGGCCGGGAAGCGAACCCAGAACCTTCTTCCTGCAAGGCAGCAGTGCCACTCCCTGTTCCACTGTTATATTTATAGCTATCTCAATATCTCGATCGATAGATCGATAATCTTACTTTTGTGCTTAAATCAGGGAAAATGCATATTTTGATGTATTTCTAGATCAAGTTTTATGTCTTAATGGCTAACCACCCTGCAAAAACTTGCTAGAAATAAGTAAATATGTCTTAAATTAAATGTATTTCTCCTTAATTTGAGCAGGTAAATAAGATGATCTGCCAGTGGGATGAGGATTTCTTTACTCTTAGAATAAGATCATTAGATAATATGCACTTGAAATAAGACAAAGTAATTTTGTTTTTCTTATTTTAAATGTAAATTGTCTTCTTCGATTGACAAAGTGTCTCACCCCCCCCCCACAATTCAATAGAAAATTATTTTAATGGAAAATGACCAATTGTGATTGACTGATTTTTTGCAGTCTGTTGATCACCTTAGACCAGGGTCCAGAGCTCTTTAGCGCCCCCTTTGCGCCTCCCTGGAGCTTTTTCAAAAATGTATGAAAATCTATTTTTTTGTTTTGTTTGTTTTAATATGGTGCAGGAGGTCAAAGAAAAATGAATTATGTTTTCCAATGCTGTAAACTTTTGTCTAATAAATTAATTTAAACTATAATTTGCCTCACAGCCACAGAGATCAGTGGTCATAACTTGCAGCCAGCGTTAGCGGCGCGGCGCCAGGCTAACAAAGCTGCAGGTGTGTTTTCAGGTAATGGATCCCAAAGGGAAAAAAGGAAGATAGCTGATGAGAAAAGAGGATTCAAAGAAGAATGGAGCGAATCATTTGCTTTTATTATCGATGTGTAAGGATTGCCTGCATGTTTGCTTTGAAATGAGAGGTTTTAAAACTATAAAAAGAGTAATTTGGAAAAGCATTTCCAGCGAAGGCTAAATCTGCAGCCGATCACCAAGCTGGGAGGGAGAGAAAAAGTGCGATTGAAGAACTTCTGGATAAATTAGAGGAGAGCAAAGATAGATATAAGAAGTAGATTAAATTTTCCAAACTGCTGCTGCTAGTTTGGCTGCAAGGATGGAAAACCGTCCACAGATCCAACAGGTGGCGCTCTGATGCAGGGACGGGAACTTTCTGCCATTTTTCCCCAAATCCTAAAAATCTAAATCCCAGAGAGGAAACGCTGGTGATGGAGGATGTGGGATTTCAGGGTTAGAGAGCTCTGCTCTGATGATGTCACTTCCTGCTTGGTTCCTCCATCAGCTCCTCCCAACAGAAACACGTCCACCATAGAAAGGTTCCTTTATTCTGTTTCTATCATTTCATCAATGCAACAAAACCTAAACCGCGCAGTGAAGGGCGGTGAGGCGGCGTGCAATGGGAGCGTTCACTGCTCCTCCCCCACCTCATGCTACTATTTGCTCCAGGATTAACATTTAACCATGAATGCTTATTATATATTTAAGCCCACATAGTCTGTTTCTAATGTGGAATAATACACTTAGAGTATGTGTTGCCATAAAAGGCATATATCAGACTTTTACATTTTGTGGCTCCAGACAGATTTAGTTTTTGTTTTTTTAGGTCCAATTTGGCTCTTTGTGCAGTTTGTCGTCTATCTTCTCCCATTAGCCCCTGGTTTTTCAGGTGGAAGGCCTTCATGCCATCACCCTCATCTGTAGCTCCCTCCTTGCTTTGTTAGTTTGTTTTCTTGTCATGTTTCTACGCCTCACTGATCATTTTGTGGACCAGTTTCTGCCATTTTTCCACTGGTTTCCTAATAATATCCAAGAGAAACCAACCTCCTGCTCCATATTCAGGTTCTGTGTGTGGTTCAAGTCTGGACTTTGACTGGGCCGTTTAGTCCTCCTATTCAGACAAACTACCTGCTGCTGGTCAAAGTTAAAGCTCAACCAGGAGAATGAAGAGTTCTGCTTCAAAATAAAACGAACCTTGGGGATTACTGTAAACCTTGAGGGCCTGCGCTCTCTGCTGGGACTGCTGGTGATACTGGGCTACATCAGGATGGCAGATCACACACACAGAGCTCCACGCTCTCTGCACTGACAGATACATCTGGATTTCCAAAAGCAGCAGCAGCTTTGGTGCTGCCTGTGTTAATGTGAAAGTGAGGCGTCATCAAAAACCAGGTGGCAGCACGCTTCAGACTGAATGAACCAGTCAACCACACCTACTGGGTTTTCTGGGTAGCGCTAGAACGTTGCAGAAAGTCTCAATCAGAGACCTCAACTCCAGCTGCACTTCTTATATCTACTAATGAAAGCTGCAATGGAAACAGCCACAAATGACTGCAGCAAAACTAATTTATACCTAACATCACATGAAGCCTTTCTATGGATCTAATCCACACAGAGTCAGAGTTTCCTGCTGCGTGTTCAGAACAGCAAACAGAAAGTGTCGCCAGCCGCCGCGGCAGCCTTCCTGGTTCTCCTACATGACGTGGCTGTGGCTTACCTCTGCAACCTTCGGGGGAACTCCATCTCCCAGGACTTCTCTGTAGAAGCACTGCTGGGTCATGTAAAACGACAGGCCGCTGGTTCTCTTGAAGGCATCTTTCAGCCGCTTCAGCTCCACATCAGTAACTGCAGACACAGAGAGGAGGAGGAGGCTTAGAAAGATGAAGGATGCTGATGGAGGGTGGGTTTACCAACTAAAGCAACACAATGGTTCAGATATCCACAGTTAGTCACCTTTGCTGTAGAGTGAAAACGATCAAATTATCCTAAAGCAGTTATTTTTTAAACATCTCTGTTTTCTAAGTGAGCAGCAGAGAAGCTAAATTCAGCTCCGCCCCGTCACACTGGCTGCTTTCAGGAAGACAGGAAGGATACCAGATTTCCATAAGCTGAGTAAGAACACTTTCAGTACGTATCGATAGAAACGATTTGAGCGCTGAATAAAAGCTTTGTCATGTTTCTGATCATGTTTTCTGAAATGTAAAGCAGAGAAAAGGAGACTTTAACACGTGGGAAGCTGCAGCACACAGAGAATTCATTGTTTGGACACCTTGATCTGTCAAACATTAGCTGGAATCAGCCTTTTAGGCTTTGGAGCTGGATACCCATGCATCCCTGGAACATATGAATGCCAGGAGGTGCAAACGCCTTGCTAATATATAACGGTGCTGCTAATTCAAAAAGTAATGCAAACACATAGTAGTCCTCCGTACCACAAGGTGGAGACAACCACCAATTCATAAAGGAATCAGTCTATGGATATTACTCATGTCTACGGACCAGAATCTTAGCTAAACCCAACAGGCCTGCCAGACGACATCAGGGGAAAGGGCAACAGTCGGGTTTTCCTCTGATTGAACACGGTAAGGTTGGTAAGGACACATCCTTTCCATTATTAACCAGGGTCAGCTTCCTCGCTAACTCTGTTCATTATATTCAGACTATGACAGTTCAAAGGTTAAAGTCGTAGGGAAGCGGCCGTTCCAACCGTTGCATTTCCGAATTCTCCAGAGTGGTGCCCGACTTTACAGGAGTGAATAAACTGAAGGTGATTGGTCGATTTTCGAGGGGGCGGGATTGGTGGAAGCTTTGCAAGCACGTTTGGTTGTGGCTGGTTTGTGGGAAGCATCTTGCTAACCAGTTAGCAACTTAGTGCTAGCAGGTTCCCAATGGGAAATTCCATTGGGACCAAGTAGCACTAAATTGGTGACTTAGAAACGACGCTGTCAAGCAACGCTATGGACAGCGGAAACATGCAAGAGGAGGAGAGTTTAGTGTCGGAGGTCGTGGATGAGTCTCCTCCGTCATCCATTTTTTATTTAGAGGAGGAAAGCGGGGACGAAGATGTTGTGGAAGAGGACGCCAGGGCGGCAGAAGCTTGGTTTGGTGTAGAAGGCTTCCAGCCGTACATGTTTGAGCCCTTGCCTCGCAACGCTGCCAGTTCTGTTAGCTCTACGCCTGCCGAAGACACAGACGTCCATCCCCGTGAACACTGGGACGCAACTCAATGGGAAAGGAAAGGATTCTGGTTTCAACCGTTGCGTATATTAGCTGCGACATATGAATCAAGATGCTATGACCGAAAACATTTGATTGACAGATGATCGTTGATATATGATTGGCCGAATTTAGGTGTTCAGGCTGACGTAGAACTAACTGGCCTGCAGAAGGTAACAAAGAAACCACAGATTTTAAGACAGGATTTTTTCAAAAATATAAATTTTCTAACTTTTGGGATATTATTTTCTGATAAAGGGTACATTTATATCCATGTTTAAGCCAGAATGATTTGACATTTAAATATCACTTCCCTATGACTTTGATAGTGTTCAACCAAACGGACACGTTTGGCATTGCGAACTTTAAACTCCCTTCAGAGCTCCTCCATCCATCCATCTTTGTTAGCCGAGCCGCTGAAGCTGCACTGGCAGGGAGAGGCCCCTAAAACCCGGGGAGAGATTTCAGCCGCTCTCACTGCTGAGCCGCTCCTGGCATTTCTACATCTGCGCTCCTCCATTAGCTCTGAGTGGGCAACATTAGCCACTCGGCTTCAGGGTAGAACTGATTAGGAACAAAGTGCTGAATCACCGGCTTTAGAAACACAGCAGGCACCTGGAAATCAAAGCAGATCTGCACTTCTCAGCACAACACCAGAGGAAAAACACCTTGGTTTATTATGTAAGCAGGCGGTTCCAAGAAAGGGACAGAACCCTGGAGCAGAATCAGAGCTAGCTTTCTATTAAAGCACATTTTCTTTAAAATGAATTCATATTCAATGCTTGATATTTAGCAGATACAATTAATTCCATGCTATGAGTTAGTGTTTAATACACTATGAGCTCAGTTAAGGCATTAAAGCAGTTCACCACAGAGATGGATAAGCCCAGTGTTTTCACGCTCCGCTGTTCATCAGTAGGTATGTTCTGCCTTTTTGTGTCTTCACATTATCAATATTTATTTGAGCAATTAAGCAAAGCGTTAGAATAAAATGAATCATTTATGCCACTTGTGGCCTCCAGCCATATAAGAACACAACAAACAGGGTTCAGTGTAGCGTGACTTAATGAGATGATCTGGTCTGGAGCCGGTCCTGAAACGCTCTCACCGTAGCCTCAGAGTGAAAAAAAAAAAAAAAAGCTGAAGCCAAATTAGAGAAGCTGGAGGCAAGGACAGCTTATTGATACGGAGTATGGAGCACGGCTGAAGAGGCATGGTGATCTGGGCTCAGCCTTTCATTTCCATTCAGAAGGAAGTATGCTGGAGGTATGTCTAGAGGAGAACGTCTGAAGGACGGCATACGTCTTTATGGACTTTCAGGACATTGCTCTGTTTGCCAACAATAAATACAGAATAGAAAATCAAATAGAAAATCCCTTTATTGTCCCACAAAGGGGGAAGTGTTATGAAATATAAGCAATAATTCATCATATCTGGGGTTTCTCAAGGCTCCATCCTTGACTGTATTAAACCTGGAACTCAACGCCATTTCTGACAGTTTGAATAGAAAAAGCTTCCTGGATGGAAGAGAAACGTGGAAACAAAGTCCAGTAGATTGATTTTAATTACATTTTTTTGAACGACTCTGACCTGAATGACAGAATCTTCAGCAGCATCTTGGCTCCTTTGTTTTTATCACCTACTATCATGAAAACCTTGGTTGGTCATAAAAACAATAGCCTGATTTAAACTAGCTTTTTAAAACCATTGCAGCAAAACTGTTTTAAATCCAGTTTTTTTCTCTTGTACTGAAAGGTTTATTTCACAACTGATGACATGAGCTGATTGGAAAAAGGTGTTTTAACAATGTCATTAGGGATCCTCCTTGCGTTTGATTGCTTTATCCTGACCAATCAAATCCTATTGAATGCAATCACATTTTGTTTCCCTTAAAATCAGTGGATCCCCATAGCTTCAAACAGGAGTGAATTAGTTTAAAAGTTAGCTAAATTAACAATAAATTAAAAAAACAATCAGAGTCCGACCAACAGGAGTTTCTGCTACGCTGGTTTGTCCATAAAAAGAGATGTGAAACGCTGTAGCTAGTTTAGAAGATCTGAACCAGTTTACCGAGCGTTCCCACCTGATCTGAACACGTTCCCTGGATGCTCCTTGGAACCACCATGCAGCCCTGAAAGGAGCAGAAACTGCTGCTTTCTAGTTTTCTGGCTGGTTGTTTTGCATTCAGATTTGACTACATCTTCCCTTCTTTTCTACGCATTTCTTTTTTCACAGAGTCCTTTTCCTGCATTAGAAGCTTTTCAGGTTTTCTAGTTTGGGAACAGTCCTACACTCAAACTTCCTCAGCCTGAAACCTTTTTCCAGTATTGTTTAATGAGAGTAATGGACCTCTGAGCAGTGATCTGGCTCCACGTTACCGACCTTTAGTCGTGCGTTCTCTGTGCTCAGGCTCCGCTGATGGTAATGCGGTAAATGGAAGTGGCTGTTGGATATCATTCTGCTGCATTTACAGTCAAATGTAAACTAGGCAGAGTTTCTGCCTTATCATTGAAGTAGTTTGAATAGAGCTCAGATGTCCTGCCAGAGCCTCTGATAGCCTAGCTTATAGCATTTATTTTCTAAAGAATAAAAGCAAACAGACCGACTGGATAAATGGATAATCAACAAGCTTGCTCATAAAGTTCATTATACTGCCAGAAGTCTTTGCTCACCTGTTTTAACTTTCCTTCCTAATCTGTAGGGTTCAACATGACGCTGGTCCACCTATTGCCCCAAAATAGCTGAGCTCCTCTGGGAAGGCTGGAGCATCAGCAGAGTGTTTACCTTTTCAGGAACTTATTGGTCATAGACCATGGCAAATCTAGCAAAATTAGCGTCTGCAATTATCAACAATATGGTGAATTTGGGTCATACTCTTTTCTTTAGTTAAAAACAATTAGAGGATTTCAAAGTAAACAGCTGATTGTGAAATGGTTAAACAACACCTGGGTGAGATAAAAAGATGTGCTCCGTGATTTTAGGGGTAAACCTTTAGTCAGTGATTGATTCAGAAAACAAGCTGTAGCGTTTCCTGCCCTGCAGGGTGAGAGCTTGCTGTTTATCTGTGTGCAACTAAAGAGCTATTCAGCATGAACAAACACCCACACAAAGGACATCTTTGTGAGGTCCAGGCTTCATCACATTTACTCTTTTCTTTCCTTTAGACTTTAGATAAACTGCAGTTAAAATAATCAATTATAAAGGATTTTTATTTTGCCGTTTGCAGCTTCAGCTTCGCCTCCATCCTTCCCCTCAGACCGTTGTTCAGGTCAGTAACCACAACAACACAGAAGTGGGTTTTTAACCTCATAAAGCAAAGATCCTGTCAAGATCAGGATTTATTTCACAGAGGCAGAGCAAACAGGCCGTTCTTTAAACCAGCCTGAAAATGATCGCATAGATTTCAACCTCAATCTGCTTTTAGAATCAGTGAACAGTTCCTGGACTCGGACCTAAATAATCCAACAGTCAGCGAGCAAAGAGTTAAACATCAATCATCTTTCTGATGACATCATTCATTTATAATGTCCAGATAAAGTGGATGAATCAATCATCTGTGACATTAATCAGACAGGAAACTGAGGCTACGTTCAAACTGCAGGCCTTCATGATCTATTCAGGCTTTTTTG